TTACGTTTTTCATTCATTAATACTTGCATTTTTATGATTAATTGATGCCTAGATGTTCTAAGTACACTTACATTTTGATTTAGGTTGCAAATAGATGAAAACGATGGGAATTAGAAGAAAAGGGCGAGAAAGGACCAAAATGGAAGAAAGTGAAAGTTCAGGAACTAAAGAGCATACTATAAACTTGTGTCTAACCTTGTGATTAAGATTCGAGATTATTAGAAGTCAATTGGATGAAAAAAGGAGTCAAATGGATAAAATATAGCCAAGACATTATCACATATCAACTTTCAAGCTGAAAAGTTTTGCATCGGTTTTCAGCCTCATATTGAGACCAATGTTTGATATGGAAGACGATCGAATTCGAAAATAGTATTGGAAGCAAAGTTGTAGCCCTTTGAGTTAGATTTCTAAAGCATCTTGAATCACCTCAATCGGATATCGAAAAAGAAAGTTATGATGAAAAAACTGAAAATCATGCCTCATAAATACTCTATGTGACCGCATAGTTATAGGTGTTGTGGTCGCATAGAAGGCTTGAATTGGCTACTGAAAACGGTAAAGATATTTTTTAACTCTCAAAATACACAATATGTACCGTCTCTCCCTATGATACATATAAAATAATAATTTACAATCACATAAGAATTTTCTATTAGTAATATTGAAAATATATATGTTTAAAATTTGGAGGGAATAAAATAACCGTCTTAATATTATGAAAAAATAAAAAGAAATTATTGATGAAATATTAAATTTTTTTAATAAAAATAAACATTATTCAGCTATCAAGACATCATCGGTTATTATTGACGACATCACAAACGTAATTGACATCGGTAATCAATGACGAAATCATTGATGGTATTGGGTGTGTTTGAATCTAATTTTGAGGAGAATATAAATTTTGGAATAGTGATTGATGTGAGAATGTTTGATGGAAAAGTGATGAAATTTTTTTGATTTGTGTGTAATATTATTTTATTTGGAGAATGTGTGGTTAAAATGAAGAATGAGAATGAGAATGAAAATGAAAATGAGAAATTAATGGTTGTCAAATAGAGTTACTAAGTGATGTTACCAAAATTCGTACCTGAATTTGACCCGAAGATGATGGTTGAAACTCCGCATACGACGATCTTCAAATACCTGAAACAAAGGCGGCGATGTGTGTCCTCGTCGCCCCTCTGATGCTTAAGTCAGAAAGAGGAATGACAGAATATTGCTTGATTGAGTATTTCTTATGAAAATGCGTACCTGGAGAATGAGGAGGGGA